GTGAAGTCACGGCCATATCTAATTCAAATTGTTGTCAAAAACTTAGATTTAGTCTCACGATTTTTCATTTAATATATATAAATATTCACATAAACATAACTTAGTTTTTATATTTAATACAGCATTTTTTTTTCTCTTTTTTGACAGCTACATCCTCTTGATTAGATACTTGTTGCAATGTCTTTCAAATGTCATATTTTTTTTACGACATAATATGCACGATGACTTAAATCTTACGTCATTAAAAGCAATTGAAAAGTACAATTATACTAAGCTATGGCATTTAAATAATCATTAGAAACGATGAGTAATCATTGTTACTTTTGAATATTAAATAGAAAAATATAAAGATATTTTTATTGCTTTCTTTATTTTAACTGATAATAGCATTTCAATATACCTTATCGCGGTAATTTAATTTAAAATAAATTAATACTTATCGGTTAATAGTCACAAGGTTTTACTAATTACATTTTAATTACTATTTCGTCACGTGATTTCCCAACTTTTTCGATCCGTAATAAAAGTAATATTATTTAGACATTTTACATACTCCACCCTCATGTATGCACAATTTATTTTACTAGATAGCATTATATGTGAGTTCAGTTCACGAAATATGAATACAGATAACACAGAATTTGTAGCCGATGTGATATAATATGTACATATATATGAACTACCCATATACATTATTACACAGTTAAGTTTTAAATATTTAAATTATTTATTCATTGGTTTATGTCTTTATTATCAGCTTAAAGGAAGTCGATACGAAAAAAAGATTAGGTATACGCGTAATATTATAGGGTACAATTTTAATAAATTAGTTTATACATTACTCATACAAAACCGACAGTGATGTTTAAACAATGACCAATAAATGTTATCTACAGAGATCTAAAAGGAACTTTTTTACATATCTACCGGCCGTTAGAAAAAAATTACGGCAGTACGAAATATGCTACAATATATTTAAATGTTCCTATAAACATTGTACATATATCTGCTAAATTGTAACATTATACAAACTATTTGTTTATTCCATCAAAAAATATCATTAAGTTTAAATACTTAACATAGGTACTTAAATGATCAGTCAGTTGATAGCATAACATGTCCAATTAGTTAAGGAAACAACAACGCTAGGACCAAAAGGGTATACATAGCTTTAATTTCAGGATCATCGTTATTCATATCAATTTATCTCATCGGTTGTCATAACGATCTAAGATTGAAAAACCCTTGGCTTCATACAAAAGACATTTATTCAAATGTGCATTTATATTTTATTTTACAGCGCCATCTTGTGGAACTGTCAAATATTGGTGCTCCCTCCATAATTCATGAGCGTCGTATTTTTATATTAGGTATAATTGTTATTCTATAGATAATTACAAATAGGTGACTCAAATGTTTGTCACAGATATAACTTTACACATTTGGAAGTTTATTTGTCCAAATAATAAACATTATTCTCAGTAGTAATTTAGAAAACTTTTGTCATCTTTTGTGCTCGTAGTTTATTTATAAATATAACTACATATATTGTAATTGACCAAGAAACTCCTTCCTTCTACCTGGCATTTCCCGGCTATAGCCAGGGTCTGCCTTATATGTTGTGAATAGTTTTGGCCAATTGTTTTTACGATCGGCAGCCTGCCTGACATCAACCCTCTTTTGGGAATCAGCATTAATCAGTGATGTCTAAATATTCTTAGAAAGTACATATTACTCAGAAAAATCACATTGGTACTTGCCCGGGCCAGGATCGAAGCCGCTCCCTCCGTGACGAGAGGCGGGTCCCCTAACCATTAGGCCACCACTGACTTAATTGTAATTTACCAAGACATTATTTTTATTAAATTCTATGCATATTTTTGCATATCATACTTGTTTCATCTGAGATTCCGTAAATATCAGTTAGTGGTCACTGCAAAACACCATGATATTTCATTTAATGTGGACCGAAAATAGATTTTATTTTACTGTCATATATTTATTTTTCTTGTTTTCTTTCTTGTAACCGATCATTTTTCCAAATGAGGTAATATATTTATTATATATGGCCATACTTATGTTCACTTCGCGAGTATAAATTCCAATTTTGAATCGGTCCGTCACAAAGTTTATATGACACGTAATTATCTCTAAAAACACCTAATTTTTTTTTCGAAATTAATGCTTTTCTTATGTCAATACTTTCATCAATGGTATGTGCTAGGAATATTGATGTACAAAAATAAAGAAGACTATAAATATAAAACCTTTTCGTATTTCACAGATGACCCATAATATGAAGACAAATACCTTTATACATTCAAGGCATTAGTATACTTTTTTTTCATCAAAATCACGTAAAAAGTAAAAGTATATGATATCAATTTCATCGTATAGTTACGGTTGGTGTTATCGATAAATCGCCTCATGTGATTCGTCACACATCATGTGTTCAGTATTAGATAAGGCTGTACCGTGTGGGTATCAATGTATATAAAGGTTGGAACAGACTGGGGAGCCACGTACGGAATATACCTACCTTATTATTAAAAACTAGCTTTACACGAGACAGAAGTATTTTGATATTTTATTTTTGAAATAATAAAAAATACAATAACGATTTTTATACAGGATATTAGAAGTATATTTGGGCGTGAATGCATACAGGTTTAAGATTTTTCACACGGTACAAAGCCACCAACAACCACATACTTTGCCGCATATATTTTCCATATACATTTTTATTATACATATATATACACATGTCATACTAACTTGATAACAAATAAACATATATAAAATATGCGAATATTTGGAAGCTATAGACACCCTGTTCATGTTTTACATAAGGGTTTGTACGGTCTACTAATTTATAGCATTTCGTGTCCTATAACCTATTATTAATGATTGATTATATAGTTCCATCGGTTATTACAAATTTTCTTAAATGATTATATTTAAAGTCTGTTCGTCGTTGTGATTGATTATTTATTTATTTTATTTATTTAGTAATCCAACAGTTTTTATACTTAAGTTTCTATATTAACTATTACATAACATAAAATTAAAACCAAAATAGGATTACACAGGTATCTTAAACATAATAATAACTAGAAGACAAAAGTAAAAGTAGCATAAAAGTAAAACTTATAGTATTAAAGTAATATAACGGTACGGGTGGGAATCCAATGGGTGCGTGTTTGCATGATTGTGTGTGTGTGGGGGGGGGGTGTATGTTTGTTATTATGAATTATAATTTATAATAATAATTTCAAAAATTTAAAATATATTTTTATTAACAATTATAATCATTTTTAGTTTATTTTTTTATATAGATTTAACTTTCAGTTACGAAACAGAAAAATGTAGATATAACAATAGTCCCATAAATTTATTAATTTATAGTTATTTGACGTGATTGTTAGAAATACTATAACTTTTTTTATAATATAAAAAACTGACTTAAACAACACACTCACGGGCATTGAAATTTGACCACGGTTGCTGCAAAGTAACCGAAACATCGGAAGTACCTATGTTGTTAAAAATTATAAGCGCGTAATATATCCGAAATATATTATTTTAATTTTAATGAATATTTGCGAACGTCTTAATGTAATTTTCTAAGTCTTAGACATCCTAATCAAATAAGCTGTTTGCCGATATTAACGTGCACAAACGCACAAAGAAATAGACAAATAGACAAAAATACTAACAATCATTGTTTTGGTTGCTATATATTTTAAAAGGGACCCATTTTTTTCATAAATATATAATATATATACTTATACGTAAGTCAATGCATAATTGTGAAACAGTTACAAAAGTTTTAAAATCGAACCCTCTAAAACAAAAACATCCACTAAAAAACGGAAATGAATAACATTTCATCGTATAAGTATATATATTATCTAATACATATAACAATATTCTTAATTGATTTCTTGAATAATATTATTATTTCAAAAAAGATTCTCTTTAAATAATAGAATTTTATTTCATCCACTAATTATAACTATGTATATATCTTGATTTATAAAATAAATAACCCCTAATTAAAAAGTATTAATACCCCGTCTCTATATGATATAATTTTTATGTTCTACTATTTAGATCCCACTGAACAGCTCTCGACAGACTAAATCTCAGTAATTTTTTTATATTCGTAGGTATGTTTACGTAAAGCTTTTCGTCGTCACACTAGACACATAAATCTTCGCAGATGCAGTATTAATTATTAACTCAAAATCGTACTCATATTTACTACATTATACAAGAACTCCTTATTAATGGTCACCAGAATACGTGTATATGAATATTAGCACTTACAATTATTATAATACTGACTGTACATTGGACAAACCTATCAAACTACGTCATCATTTTAAGGAATTATCTTCTAAGAAGAGAGCATCTCAATTCTCAATATATCATAAAACAGCTCAACGTATTCAAATATATATTTTTTAATGATCTGGAATAAAAGCAACGTTTTTGTTGTTTTTGAAACAGCTCTTTTTATTATTAATTATATGCATTACTCAATACAATGAATAGTTAAATTTGTATATATTATTAATTAATGTATGTGTGAAAACATGTTTTAAAATGAATCTATTCTCTTTAATGATCTCTTCAAAGATATAATATACATTTAGTATTCACGGTTTTAAAGTTTTTACAACAAATTGTTAAAAGTGTGAACTAAACTAACAGTCAATTGGTTATAATGGGCTATGACGTTTGTTGAACGACGTGTTTTCGTGTTGTTGCGTCAATAATTCCTTTTATTAATTTTAATTTTAAGGATAATTAGGTATATGTATGTATAATATTCAGAATAAGCGAATCACGCTGCACGGTTCGTTCCTCTTAACAGCTATACATTTTATATATTAAAAGCAAAAATAACAATACTTTATTGTTTATAATGTTATTTAAGCAATAGATCTAATCAGTTGTTCAATATCATTCATTTTTCAGGATGATTCTAAAGCACAATGCCTTTATCAAATAGCCGACAACAGTTCCTGGCGTACGAATCTCATGGTGACCAAGATATACATTATACGAGAAAAGGCGGCGTATTTATATCTACCTGCATTTGCGTTATCTTCATTATTTTCGCTATATTAATAGCTATACTTGTGGGTATAATCGTATACTACATCACATACATTAAGGTAAGCTTACACATAAATATTTAGTTTCTCTCGCTTGTTACTTAATATACATGTGTATAGACCGAGAAAGATATTTTGTACCCTATATTATTAGATGAATCTAATCTTCTGATCAAAAACATATTGTTCTAAAAAAACCTATGGTCCTAATTATTTTTTATGGAACGTGGAACAGTATTTACTGTTTTAATTATAATAATAATTTAATATAGGTTTTTATTAATGAGTAATGACTACTACGCTTCATATTAGATAAATATTTATCATTATTTAATTCCTTGACCCCTGACATTTCCAACTTTTGGTGATAATTTGTAAAATTTAGAGAACGTCATAGTAAAATGACGTTTGACAACTATTATCAGCGAATTTCATTGACGAATCACGATTCACGATTGTCATTTCACAAAAATGTTGTGAAGGAGGGAGTTTTGTTTTGTACAATGTTAATATATATTGTAAAATAAATAATAATATAATTTTTAGTCACCATGAAAGTGTAATTATTCACAGAACAAGGAAAATCTATATATATTTTAATCCATTTAGGGAAATACAACGTTTATTAATTAATTGTTATAAAATTTGTTAATTCAACGACGTTCAAAATGAATGTCGTTTTGTTTTGTTTTACATTCTTTTTGTATTTAAAATTTTGTGAAAATAAAAGTGTAAGTTGAACTTTAATTCTAATATTAAAATATAGTTTTAATGGAGACTATTTTTTAAGGATTTAGATGTATGTGTAAGTAATATTAAACATTTTATTTTAAAAATTTCTAGGTATCTCAAAAATCTGAAGATTTCTGGGACGAAACAGATCCATTTGGTCAAAGTAGCTCACCTTCACCAGACCTACGCCTGCCTTCGAGTGTAATTCCAAGCTTTTATAGACTTAAAATCAAAGCTGATTTAGAGAACAAAAATTTCAGCGGAGATGTATATATTACTATAAAAGCAAATAGAAAAGTTAACCAAGTCATACTCCACTCCAAAGATCTGGTTATTGGAAATGAATTGACTTTAACAGAACAAATATATGAAAAGCTGGAGACGTTACATGCAGCTAAATCAAAACGAGAAATCGCAACCGAGAATAGTACTGTAACAGAAACGAATTCAACATCACCAATTGCTACAACGGTAGAACCAGCTATAGCTGACAATGGTACTAATGTAGAAACAACAGATTCAAACAATTCATCCAATATTTTAACTACAATACCTCCAGTTAATACTCAGGTTACTCATAGTAATGTGAGAAACATAAATATTACATCAATCAAGTTTAGATCCGGCGATCGACTGATTTTAAACCTCGGATCATATCTGAATCCTGGCATTGATTATACTTTACAAATTCCATTTAATGGAAACATTTCTAGTTCATTGACAGGTTTCTACCAGAGTTCTTATACAGAGAACAACCAAGTGAGGTGAGTAGTATAATATATTTTACTAAATTAAGGATAATTATATTGGGGATTATAAACTTCTTTTACACTAACAATTGACTATATAATGCCTACAATAGGATAAATTTAAATGACTAAACAAATAATGTTAACTATGAGTAAAAGAACTAAGTTCTTGTAATTTTTTGGCCACAGTTGATTAAATGATTTAAGATTATATTCATTTATATACTATAACATTTGTTAAAAAAATACACTGTGCTTATAATACATTATTAAAGAATACATAAATTTAATGTTGGGAATAATCTATTTCTATTTCAGACAGTTAGCTGTAACACAGTTTGAACCGACATCAGCGAGGGCAGCTTTTCCATGCTTTGACGAACCAGAATTCAAAGCAAAGTTTGAGATAAGCATCGCCCATAGGAATAATGTATCTGTATTGTCCAACATGAAAATAGCTATTGAAGAACCTATGTGAGTCAAATATTAAATATATTTAAATAAAAAACTAAATTAGCTACATAACTAAAAGGTCAACAGTTGAACATGTTTAATTACATATTATAGAAATTCATCTAAATAAAAAACTAATTAAGTCATATAATTAAACAAAGGTCAATTTCAAGCTGAACTTATTAATTAATAAATTTATATATATAATTTTATTTAACATCATAAAGAAAATAATTAAAACTGTATACTGAAAACTTTTACCAAGATTCTTGTCATATAATTAGGAAACATTAATTTGTTATACAAATTATTTCCATTATTACAGAGAATCAGATCCAGAATGGAAATGGACACATTTTGAGAGATCAGTCAATATGTCTACTTATCTAGTTGCATATGTTCTCTCCGACTTTGTAAATGTAGAAACAAATTATACAAGTGTCAGTAATGTAACAAAACCAATTAGGATTTGGACGAGGCCTTCCTTGATATCTAAAGCGAACTATGCACTAACTATTGTACCTAAGCTACTGTTATTCTATGAGGAAATCTTTGGTGTGCCATATGCATTGGATAAAATGGATTTAATAGCCATCCCGGATTTCTCTAGTGGTGCTATGGAAAATTGGGGTCTGATCACTTTCAGGTAAGCTTCAGATTAGAATGTATTAGTAAGGACTTCAACGACTAATATATGCAGAAAAAGTTAACTGACTCAACCAGGATTCAAACTTACTACCTGAGGAATATGATCTTAGATAAGTAAGGTAGTAAATCCTGACTCAAATCGGAGAATCAAGTATTGTATAGTTACAAGTAGCATCATACATGCTGAACTAATTATAATATATGTACTATAATCTTTAGAATTATTTTTTAAATTAGTTGTAATTTTGAACCATCTTAATTTTTTGATAGCAAAACTTTGTGTCACCTTTTATTTGAAAACTATAAATACTGGCTTCAGCCATTTTGTAAGATATTACAAGAAGACTTGAAACTTGATTTTTAATGTTCTAACAATATTTAACCGTTATATCACTACTCCGGTGTTATCTAATATTTTTTCATATAATGTCTTGTGGTTACAAAATCTTTGATTATCATATATTTTTGCTTTTTCCAGAGAGACAACCCTGTTATATGATGAAGTTGAGGGTATTCCCCGTGAGAAACAAAACGTAGCTATCGACGTAGCCCATGAGTTAGCTCATCAGTGGTTTGGAGATCTTGTGACTATGAAGTGGTGGACAGATCTATGGCTAAATGAGGGTTTTGCCACATATATTGAGTATGTCGGGGTTGATCATGTAAGTTGAAAACAACCAGAAAATTATCCAATATGTCACTATTTGACATATTTTTCTTTATTAATTTTCTTTTGATAAACTTAAATGAAGGAACAATGCGATAGATTATGTCGATTTTCCTAAAAAAGACCAAAATTAAATAAATTCAATGTTAAAAACTATGACTCTGTTTTTGGACCCTATCAATGGTTGTTAACTATCTACATAATTATATATGAAAATATGTGTTTTTTTAAGATTGCACCAGAATGGGATATGTTTGAATCCTTCACAAGGGACAAAATGAATCTTCTAAGGACGGATGCTCTGAAGAACACAGCTCCTGTGTCACAAAAGGTCATTGACGCCTCAGAAATATCGCAGAAGTTTGATGAAATATCATATTCCAAGGGCGCTAACTTAATAAGAATGTTGAACCACACCATCTCCAAGGAATTGTTCTACAAGGGATTGCTTATATACTTGAACCTTTGGTAAGTTTTAAATAATATTTTTACTTTCTATATTACTTACCAAACCAAACTTAATAATTTATTAGAATAGATTACGAAAAGAATCATAATATATTTCATATGCCTACCAAAGATTAAAATATTAATTTACTATAAAGTTTATAAACCAGTCAATTATGCTCTTCAATAGAATGTTTCCACTATTAAATCAAGTATGTCATAATTTCTTCATTAAAATTGATTAAAAAATAATTCCATTATATTCCAATTCCAGGAAATACCAGAATGCTGAGGAGAACGATCTATGGCAGGCGATGTCTCAAGCTACTAAGGAATCTCCGCGTCTGAAGGGCCTTTCCGTTGTTGATTTCATGAACACTTGGACGAAGCAGCCGGGTTACCCTGTGGTTAAAGTCGTGCGGAACTATGAGAACGGTTATGTTACCTTTGAACAGGTAAGATATTTTACCTTTGCACAGAAGTTTAAAATCTTAATAGAATCTTTTTTATATTTTTTATGGTATAAAGTGTATACAAAGAAATATCTATAGTTTTTTTACATACTAGCTCATATAAACCATCAATTTAGTTATAGACCTATAATATGAACTGATATTATATTATATGGTATTCTAATTTCTGATTAATCTTATTCACTACTACTTTAATACATCTTAATTATTACAGAATCTCTTCACCAGCAATAAAAATAATAAGAAGGAACAAAAATGGCAAATACCAATAAGTTACAGTACTAACAGTAGCGACTGGGGTACGGAGGCGAAATTCTTTTTGAACGACAACGCTATCACGACTCAAATTGATATCGACAACTCGCAGGCACTGTACGTGAATGTTGAAGCTATCGGTGAGTCTCTTTCACTCTTACCTTATTTATATATCTTTGTCTCTGTCTCGCATAACGGTATCTGTTATGTGTGTGGTAAATTGACATATATGTCAAAATAGCACGTGGTAGTAGAAGTCTATCTATTTCTGACACCACGTTCGATTCAATAAGTTCTTTAATAGTATCTATAGTACAGTAATAACAAAAAACTGTCGAGAAAAATCTATTCATCTCTTTCCCTCATCGTGTTCGTGTCATACGTCTAACTCTTTATATTAAATTTATGAAAAAATCCTTACATACAACAAATATATCTGTCTCTTTCTCTCTTCATATCCGCTGTATACATCTATCTCTTTCTATCACATCAACTAATCGATATCATATTCAACAGGATACTATCGGGTTAACTACGATCACAGAAACTGGGATTTACTAAATAAGGCTTTAAAGAACGGTACAATCACAAACCCGATAGCGAAAGCTCAACTAATAGATGATGCTTTCAATTTGGCGAAAACTAACCAATTGGAATACAACTACGCGCTTGGATTAACAACTTGCGTAATACATGGAGAGGAATCTAAAACTGTTTGGGATTTATTATTGAACAATATGGCGTTCTTGAGCCACAACTTGCGAGCTACTTCCGGGTATATGTACTTCCAGGTGAGGTCTTGTGATTTATATAAAAAATATAATAGACTAACACACTGGTATTTAAAACTTAAATGATTTTTATTGGATTGAAGAAAGAGGTATTATATGTATTAATTATTATTATTTTTTATATAGCGGGGTGTACCCTAATAAATACCCTTATTACTTTGGATTCCACACATAGAATAAAAATAAAAATGTTCGAATAACATGTAATTGAATTAGTAATATTCGTTTTGTATCGACTCAATTCGCGTTTTTATTCAGTTTTCTATTCAAACAAACTAATACAAATTACCGATAACATGTCCTAAGCTTTACTAAGAAATTTTATGAAGATTCCTTAAACATTTTTTATGAAATAGTCACAAAATTCCATACAACCTCACAAATTTTTGTTTTCATAATATAAATAAGGTAATAACATAATTATTCTAGGATTACATGAAAATAATACTGAAAAAACAATTAGAACGTCTCAACTACGGTCTGGATAAACCCAAAGACGATAACGAAGCGTTCTTAATAGAGAACTTAGTACTCTGGGAATGTTTGGTAGAATCGCCGCGCTGTCTACAATGGACAAGGGAACAGTTTGAAACTTGGACCAGCAAACCAAATATGACTGATAATCCGTGAGTAATATAATACTATGATCAAATTGCTACTGCCTATAGAATACCGCATTTCAACTACTTTGAAAATTAATGAGATATAAGATTTTCGCGAGTACACATTTAAATGAAACTAATATTTTAGGATTTTTACTTCGCGTTTTTATTTTTGATTACAAACTACATACCCCCGACGTTTCGGCTACTTTTCAGCAACCGTGATCACGGGCAGACGAAATTATAATCAAAAATAAAAACGCGAAGTAAAAATCCGAAAATATTAGTTTCATTTACTTTGAAAATAACACTTTCGTGTCACAACTTACATCAACGTTAGAAAGTTTAAGGGAAATATTTTTATGACCGATTGATATTAATTATAATACTGAACCATTGTAATTTTGTAATGGCACCATTTAAGTATCAAGTTGTTTTGAAAACTTTACATACTGGCTTCAACATTTTTTTAAGATTTTACTAGAAGTAACGCTGGACATTAAATAACAAGTCTGAAACAATTTCGAGATACAGACCTTGAACATACATTAATGATATTTCCAATATATAAAACTACCTATATAAAATATTTCTAAGTAAATTTTATGTTTTCCTTTCCAGTATTCCAAGCTTCCTCCGTTCCTTAGTCTACAACATGGCCATCAAAAATGGAGGTAGACGGGAATTTGAAATACTTTGGAACATTTTCTTGAACACCACCGATCCTAATATTAAGAACTTGATCATATCGAACTTACCTAGCACTAAGGAAGAATCATTGATAACTTTGTGAGTATATATTGCTTTAAGTACAAGACAAGACAACTTATGCAAAAAAAAAATCAGTATTGCAACTAATTCAGTTTTACAGGGAATTATATTGGGGCCACTATTATATTTAAATTTCATTGTTGGGAATCCCTACTAATATTATAAATGCGAAAGTAACTCTGTCTGTCTGTTACGCTTTCACGCCTAAACCACTGAACTGAATTTAATGAAATTTGGTACAGAGATGGAGTTGACCTTGAGAAAGAACATAGGATAGTTTTTATCCCAGACGTTTGAAATATTCTCTTGGAAACGCGATATAACCGAACTCTACGCGGGCGAAGCTGCGGGCGGAAAGCTAGTTTACTATATATATGAATTTAATGATGTTTTTATTTTACAGATTGCTTGAAAAGAGTCTATCGGAAATACCTACGCAGTACGCTATATCGGCTTGGAGCGTCGACGCGCCGATAGGCACTAAGATAGCTCAAGACTTCCTTATAGATAACTTCGACAAAGTATACAAGAGATTCAACGAAATGGATTCATTCATGTTCGCTGGAGTACTGAACGGAGCGTTTGGATTCATTACTACTAATGATGAATTAAATAGGGTTAGTTATATGTTACTAGTGGCGCCATCTGTGACGTACTAATTGTATACTACAAAACTTAGAATTACTCTTGACTAACTGTAAATAGTTATTTTACTTGGTGATTTTCCAATGGTGACATTTGAAAACTACAAATGCTAACTTCAGGCATTTTGTAAGACATTACTGGAAGTAACGTTGAACATTAAGGATCAAGATTTAAACCGTACCTCAAACACTAACTAAATAAACGTTTACCTCTTAAGTAGTACTTATTAGTGCTAAGGAATATTCAGTTATTAGCAGTGGCGGCTGTACCTTAAGTGCCCTCGTGCGCTGGACCACCAATTTAAAAATTACAAAATATTACTTCATCTTTATTTTTAAATTACCATTTTAATATTAATTTTTAAACATATAAAAACGTATAAAAAATTAAATTTCTTAATTATGGTCAAAAAGGTTGAGCGCTTTATTAAACTAATATCTCGTGCGCTTCGGCGAGTGCACGAGGACTGCTAATACATCTTGTATGAGATACGCATTAATACGCCTGACGCGTGAAACAAAAGATCGTTCATAGAAATGTACAGAGTAATGAGTCGCTTCACGAGCGGCCGAAGATTACCGAGAGCACCCGATGTATGACGAATTGAGCCGTGATTGACATCTCGTTATGTTTTGTTGCATTTCGTAATTTTAATACTTTAGTAAAGTGCACCACGAGTTCGATTACCCACCGGCCGCCACTGGTTATTAGTATAATTACTTATATGTTTATAGGCTCTTAGCATGTTGACTATTTATTGAAAGCTATAAAGCGTCATAAGTTATATTTAATATGAGGACCATCCTTAAATTTTAACATTAAATGAGGTAGGTATAGACATAATGAAGACACAATTTAGTTAAATGTTATCAATTGAATTAATTCTTATAACAGTCTAACCCATTTTTGTTAATCTATTCTTTCTGTTTCTTAATAATACTAATATACAAAACTGATAAGTCCTAGTGGCCTAGAGTTTAAAGGCTCGTCTGTCATGCATGAAGAGACGGGTTCGAAACCTGGCAAATACCAATGTAATTTACCGAATTCGTATGTAGATATGTTTCTAAGACTATTTAGACAATACATACTGACAGACGGTGAAAGAAACCTGGACTTATAAATTCGCCAATCAGCCTAGAACAACCGTTTTGATTAATGCTCTAACCTTCCAAACAAGTGAAGAGGATTTTTCTCAGCAATGAGCACCAATAGCCTGATAATTTAAAGCTAATCTTATTACGTATTTTCCAGTTTAAAAAATTCGCGTTGGAGCACAAAGCCGAGCTGCAGCCCGTGTCCCACACGCTACAGAAGATAGCTGACAGCGGCGCGGTCAGGATAGCGTGGATCAACACACACGCTAAGAACATTAACAACTGGTTCAAGACATATGTTGAAGGTATAGAACTACCCTTTTTTTCCCAGCTCTTAATATATATCTTAGACAAATTCGTTGATTCTAAAAAGAGTGACGTCAGCATAAGTGACGTCACCAATGTCTTTCATTTCGAGTATAGTGAGACTATTAGGTTCTCTTCTTCTACCTGACAATTTCCCAGCTATAGCCAGGGTCTGCCTTACATGTTGTGAATAGTTTTGGCTAATTGTTTTTACGACAGCCCGCCTGCCTGACATCAACCCTCTTTTGGGAATCAACATTAATCAGTGATGTCTAAATAGTCTTAGAATTAGGTTATTGAAGGTAATCTCGTAGACGGTTTGAGGAATTCCTCATTTCTAAGAGGTGTGATCGCTGCAATATACATATATTGTAATTTTTATTCTTGAAAAGAAATTAGCCTTGAAGTCCTTCCGCGCGGAAGACGTTAAACTTCGTAATGTTGGAATGAAAACAGGAAGGGTTAGAAATAGATTTTAAAGGAATTTTTAGTGTTTCTTTAAAACAAACCTTATTAAAATAACGTAAAAGTAACAATTGATTGCCCGCGTTTGAGTGCCACGCATTCCTCACATTAGGTATATCTCTTTTTATAGATAAAAGACCCGGTAAAAGACGGGGTAGCCCCCGGGAAGCGTTAAACGTTTAACGCAATCTTGTTAAAAGCCGCATAAAAAGTTTCAACCTGCTGTAGCTAAAGCCGAAAGTATATTTAGAATTTTGATAAAGAAAGACTTATAATTCTAGATAATGTCATTAAATCATAATATCAATCCACTAATTAATAAGTTAAGTTGCAAACATAAAAAAATATGAAGAAAAATAAATAAAGACGGCAATGAGAAATTTAAAAGAAAAAGAATAAATTATTTTTAGATATTTTTCTCGTTGTTAACTTATGGTTGTAGTTATATTTGTTGTTAGCGTCTCTTACAAATAAAAAGACGTAATTTCCTAAATAAATTATATAATGAGATCTAAGACTTGAAATGAAACTAATATTTTCGGAGTACTAGTAATTTATTATTTCTAAAAACTACATAATACCGATGTTTCGGTTACTTTACAGCAGTACATCACGGGCACATCTCGTCCTACACATAATCTAGTAAGTAATATTGAAATATTAGTTTCCTTTAAATACATTATATAATATTGTTACAGAACATTCAACAAACAGTCAAACAACGGAGACGCCGAACGAAAACAGCACAGACGGCAACGTGACTTCAAGTCCTACAGAATAACTTTATATAGTTAATATATTAAATATACATTCCAAATATTATTTGTATAATATAAAATCGATAATAAATCGATATTAATTTTTAAATCGATACGATTGATTTGTATATTATCTGTATTTATTAAAGTAATCTGTGCTTATCACAAAGTGTCACTGCCCGCAAAAATAAAATTCACTTAATTCGTCTAACAACTAAATCATGTATTCATTTAAGAATATATCTTAAGATTTTTTGTTGAGTTGTGAAATGTTTATAATAAATTAAGTTTATAAATAATATATCATAATATTTTTATATTTTAAGATATTTTATACGTTCAAAGCTCTCTTATTATTAAAAACATTTTAAGGAGCCGTGAAAAAAACAAGTATAATATGTTTATTTTTAATTAATATAAATAAATTTATATTTATATCCGAATATAAAATGCTTAGTAATTCGTCGTGCCAAAATTTACAGAAACTACTGAGTATTTAAAATACATTTTTTTATAATTTAAATGTATAATTATTTAACTCAATGGTTAAAAAATATTTCATTTTATATACTTAAAAATATACAAAAGATGCTTATAAATATAAAGTTATTTGATTCATTGTAATAAAATCGTTTTTAAGTTTTAGTAATATTGAGAAGTTCCTATACGAAGTTTAGCATCAGAAAATGTAAATCCATAAAAATAAGTCGAAATATGTATGTTGAAAGAATAATTTAAGTCAATAAATAACTATTACTAACCAAAAATTGCTTATTTTCCTTGTACGTGTGTAAATAAATGACTGATGAATAATACTTGCATTTCAACTTATATTTCCACTTACAACTACAATTATTATTCCCAACATTGTTGTCATACAAAATTTGAATTTAGCGCCAATATTATAAAAATCAATAATAATAAGCAGTGCTCTTATTTTTTATAAAGATCAAAAATAATGATACGCATTAATTTTATTTCAGTAGAAATAATTCTACAAATATAAAGTAAATTATATAATTTTTCCAAATACAATGCCACATCATTTCATCCAATATGGCGTAACGATGGCAATTCCCGCGAAAATCAATAATGCTTGTAAACAAGTGCTGCATGGGGACACTATTGTCATATTTTGCGTTTTATTCAACGCCATTCGCGTATTTTATGTCTTTATAACATTGTTTCGTATAAAATCTTCCGTAATATATATGAAATTAATGAATTTAAATATGGATACCGCAAACGTAGGATATTCGTACCATCTGCCCAGTGGCGGATGGAATTACAAAATTCGTAATACGCTGTCCCAATTTAGTGATTTATTTAGTGAATTCAACAAATATATAGCACCAGCTTACCACCACGATCGTTGTGAAAGGTATTATTATATATTATATTAGTAATATATTTGTATGTACTTGTTTATTTTGTATTTTTTTTTAATTCCAGATCAGTTCAAATGAGGATTTATTCAATGCACAAAGGAGAATTCGTGATGGTTTTTATAGCATTTTTTGCTTGCTTTGGCCTTGGTGTATTTATAGGGTTAGCAGGTATGTAAATATTTTGTGAAATCCAATACCTTATAAGTCCTTTAAACTATTTTAATTTAATTTTCATTAACCTTGCTCATAAAACACCGTGGATTTAAATTCCAATTTATTATGCAATCAATTAACTTGGTCGAGAAAAATCACTCAATAAATACGCTCATAATAAATTTTATTTAGACAAACCGTCACCTTAAAGATTGTCATAAAAAACAAAACAAGTAATTTATGTACGTATTAAATCTTAATTCAAATTAACATCTACTTTCCGTTTTGATCGACGTATCTTTATGTCAAAGTATTTTTTTTTTAATGACGCTTAGGTTTACGATATACAATAATTTAAACATAATAATATTAAAAAGGTTATATATATAATAATACAAATAAGGTATAATGAGTCTATTTATGTTAAAGGTCCGTCTCCAACATTAACAACGTCAGTGTCCAGTGGTGTGAATGCCAGTTCCTTGGCCCACGGACCTTACCGCCTTCGAAGCCCCGCGATGGGAGCCCGCGCTCAGCAGCTGTGGCTGTTAGCGGAAATACTCACAGATAATGACGACGGTAATAATTATTATATAGATCAGTGGTGTGCAAACTTGATGGGGCCCAGGGCCAATAAAAATAAATAAATACATTGGTGGACCGCAAATTATTTATAAAAATACTGGTAATAATAATATCTTTATAATTACCAGTATTTTCTTATTAATGTAATCAAAAAAAGAAGATAAAAAAGATTCCACGGGCCGCAATAATCCGAACCATGGTTTGGAAAGCCCTGATGTGGATAAAAAATTGTTTATTATTTTTTCTGTATACAAGAATATTTTTCTTATTTTAAAATAGTTCTATGATTTCAAATAATTGTATAGATTTACTATCATAACGAAATTATTGCAGTACAGATTTTTTTGTTTACAGATACCAAACAAATATTAAAGGAAGGTTATGTGTCTATTATGTGTGTCTTTTTTGCGTCTTGATGTGTATTATCGACAAATACTTCGCGAGATTAATTTTTGTTGCTCGTTTCATAGACTGAACAAAAATATTAATATCAAAAATGCAAAATGTTTGTAGAATAATTTGTATTCATATTATTTTAAACTTATGTACCAAAAAATTTAAAATACCTTTAAATATAAGTTAAATAAAAAACTCTGTATAACGGAATCATATTTAATATTCAGTATTATTTCTATTACAGAAGAGATATTCGACAAGAGCTTTCAAATAAGTATATCAATAGACGGCGTGTTGAGTGATCACACGACCGTGACACTCCTACCCGAGTCGGAGGCGACTAACAGGTGATGATGATTAAAATATATACTTTAAAATTATATTTTATGACTAAAATATACATATGTATATACAGGGTGACTGGTGAATTACTATCGATACTTGAGGACGTGATATTTGACGATCATATATGACAAAATAAAAATTAATATAACATAAATATTAATAAACTTCTAAGTAAAGTTAACCAAAAGTTATGTAATTAATTTCGCATCGTGTGAACACCCTACAGATTAGGTATACACACACACACACACGCGTGCGGCGTCGTGGTGTTGTATCAGCACGCCGCCGCACGCGTCCACACTTGGAACACTTGGAACGTGTCCACACTTTATTTATTTATAAAAAGTCTTATATATCAAAAAATATTATAATTATATTATTATATTACAGGACACAACATCTGAAATGCAAGAAGCAGGTATGTGAGGAAGTGATGGTGCTACACTTGGGTTCATTAGAGTACACGCACTACGTGTTCAACCTACACTTCTACGGTCTAGAGGAGTTCCATAAACGTTATAATATACGTGAAATCATTTTTTACGTAAGTATCATTTATAATCAAAAAATTTGTATGTATATAATTAGAGAGAGTGCTTTTTGTATAATGGACTAAGTTTGGTATATTTTTACAAACAAAGCATAGAGTTACGTAAAAAATATATAATCTATACTAGCTTTCCGCGGGCAACTTCTCCCGCGTGGAGTTCGGTTATATCGCGTTTCCAAGAGAACTTTACAAGTCTGTGATAAAAAATATCCTATGTTCTTTCTCAAGGTCAACTCTTTCTCTGTACCAAATTTTATTAAAATCAGTTCAGTGGTTTAGGAGTGAAAGCGTAACAGACGGACAGACAGAGTTACGTTCGCATTTATAATATTAGTAGGGATAAGAAACAATAAGGAATTTCTTTTGGTTCACTCTTCAGACAGGCAATACTAACAGAAGCCGTGCAATAAATATAGTATTGAAAAGTTTAGGCTAAAAGAGGTAATAAGATATATATGTAGAAATTATTAGATTAATCAACTGTATTACGAACTGACCAACGAACATACTAGAAATAGGTTCGTCGTAGATTTCGACTCGATACAAGTAGGAGTTAGAGATATACCTAACAGCTAAATCTCTCTATAGCTTACTAAAATACTTTATTTTTCCAACTTCGTTACTGAAAAGTGGCCGAAACGTCGGGAGTATGTAGTTTTTTACAAAAATAAAGCACGCGTAGTGTATCCGAAAAATATTAGTTTCATTTAACTGAATAAGTGATATTTGTATTTCAGTTCAAAACCTACAATCCAGTGTTCACACAAATGGAGACCTGGTTCAGATTCATCTTCCTCCTCACAACATTCATTGTAGCCGTAAGTAACTTAAATATATCTATAATAAAACAAATGTACTTTTATATTTTTTATACAAAACTATTAAATACCAGTAATAATTATATGTAAATCGTAATTCTATCACAAGAAATACGCTTACTATTTTATAACAATAGACATTTATTTAGAATCAAACGAACAAAATGTATTAATAGCTCACGTGAGACTAACCCATATAGACTGATAAGTCTAGTATAAGAATCTGGTTTAGTCTTGAGAGAGCGGAATTTTAAGTATTTTTGTCTATATTTTATTTCGTATAATAAAAGTTGTAGGTATTTCATATAATTTTCTATCATTTTCAGTGTTGGTTCGGCCACACGCTCCGTCGATATTCCACACAAGACTGGGCCATTGAACAGAAGTGGGTCTCTATACTACTACCGATGCTACTACTGTATAATGGTATGAACAATAACATTGCTATAGAAACTATGTATAACTAACTAAAATGTAAATGTATATTTCCTACTAATATTATAATTTCGAAAGTTTGTGAGTGTGTGTGTATGTTTGTTACTTCTTCACGCTCAAACGGCTGAACCGATTTTTATAAAATTTTGCATAGCTCATTTAAAGCGTAAAATGGAAAATTAATCACTAATATTAGTACTTGCAACTTTGGGATTGTTACGTTTCGAATTAATTTTTTTTGATGAGGGAATTCCTCGTTAATTCTAGTTATGTGGGGAACGTAATGGCGACTATTTGATTGTCACCTACTAAACAACCCGATGTCCTTTTGCGCTATCATTGAGGGACGTGGGAAATGTTATCGCTATCAAACCTCGAAGACTCATTCCCGGTTGTACCTGGGCTAGGTTCTGCCCTGATATGACTTAGTGACTGCCACTTGCTTCTACAAGCAGTGATCCCACGAACTTAACATCCAATTCCAATCCAAACTACATTTTCTTACAAATAACTAAAGCTAGACAAGGACTCCTACTCACAAAACAAACAAGACTAGACTACAAAAAATCTTTTATGAAAAATACTTATTAGTAATTAATTAATAGTTGTATTTTATGTTACATCAAAATTAGTCCACTTCCCTGTTAAAACAGTAGTGGAAACTTAACTGGCATTAGTGTTAAAATACATATGATTATTATATTAACTTGTAATATACGATATGCTGTATTTCCCTAATAATAAATAAATGAATAACTCCTACCCACAAAATACACAAGACTAGACTCCGACTCCTACTTACAAACTTACTATCTATGTTTATTACAGACCCCCTGTTCCCTCTCCGCCTCATATCAAGCGGTGTGTTTTCTCCTCTCGTGGATGTCATCTTACAAACGTCGTTCTTATCATCATTATTACTGTCGTGGCTGGCGCTCTATCACGGACTAAGACAGGTATGTACATATACACTTATATATTAAAATATTATATACTTTTAATTGGTCAAATACAAAAAAAATTACAAATTTACATTTACATTTTAACATTTACATTTAAAAATTACAAATTTAAATTTACATTTACATTACATCTGATTGGTTAATATTATAAACTAATGCCTGAGACATGTACATACAATATATACACTTATTGCTATATAGCATTAAACTAAAATATTATATACTTCTGATTGGTCAAATATAAAAAAAATACAAATTCTTACCGTTTCATTACATCTGATCGGTTAATATTATAAACTAATGACTGAAACATGTACATACAAATATATACACTTATTGCTATATAGCATTAAACTAAAATATTATATACTTCTGATTGGTCAAATATAAAAAAAAATACAAATTCTTACCGTTTCATTACATCTGATCGGTTAATATTATAAACTAATGACTGAAACATGTACATACAAATATATACACTTATTGCTATATAGCATTAAACTAAAATATTATATACTTCTGATTGGTCAAATATAAAAAAAATACAAATTCTTACCGTTTCATTACATCTGATCGGTTAATATTATAAACTAATGACTGAAACATGTACATACAAATATATACACTTATTGCTATATAGCATTAAACTAAAATATTATATACTTCTGATTGGTCAAATATAAAAAAAATACAAATTCTTACCGTTTCATTACATCTGATCGGTTAATATTATAAACTAATGACTGAAACATGTACATACAAATATATACACTTATTGCTATATAGCATTAAACTAAAATATTATATACTTCTGATTGGTCAAATATAAAAAAAATACAAATTCTTACCGTTTCATTACATCTGATCGGTTAATATTATAAACTAATGACTGAAACATGTACATACAAATATATACACTTATTGCTATATAGCATTAAACTAAAATATTATATACTTCTGATTGGTCAAATATAAAAAAAAATACAAATTCTTACCGTTTCATTACATCTGATCGGTTAATATTATAAACTAATGACTGAAACATGTACATACAAATATATACACTTATTGCTATATAGCATTAAACTAAAATATTATATACTTCTGATTGGTCAAATATAAAAAAAATACAAATTCTTACCGTTTCATTACATCTGATCGGTTAATATTATAAACTAATGACTGAAACATGTACATACAAATATATACACTTATTGCTATATAGCATTAAACTAAAATATTATATACTTCTGATTGGTCAAATATAAAAGAAATACAAATTCTTACCGTTTCATTACATCTGATCGGTTAATATTATAAACTAATGACTGAAACATGTACATACAAATATATACACTTATTGCTATATAGCATTAAACTAAAATATTATATACTTCTGATTGGTCAAATATAAAAGAAATACAAATTCTTACCGTTTCATTACATCTGATCGGTTAATATTATAAACTAATGACTGAAACATGTACATACAAATATATACACTTATTGCTATATAGCATTAAACTAAAATATTATATACTTCTGATTGGTCAAATATAAAAAAAAAATACAAATTCTTACCGTTTCATTACATCTGATCGGTTAATATTATAAACTAATGACTGAAACATGTACATACAAATATATACACTTATTGCTATATAGCATTAAACTAAAATATTATATACTTCTGATTGGTCAAATATAAAAAAAATACAAATTCTTACCGTTTCATTACATCTGATCGGTTAATATTATAAACTAATGACTGAAACATGTACATACAAATATATACACTTATTGCTATATAGCATTAAACTAAAATATTATATACTTCTGATTGGTCAAATATAAAAGAAATACAAATTCTTACCGTTTCATTACATCTGATCGGTTAATATTATAAACTAATGACTGAAACATGTACATACAAATATATACACTTATTGCTATATAGCATTAAACTAAAATATTATATACTTCTGATTGGTCAAATATAAAAAAAAAATACAAATTCTTACCGTTTCATTACATCTGATCGGTTAATATTATAAACTAATGACTGAAACATGTACATACAAATATATACACTTATTGCTATATAGCATTAAACTAAAATATTATATACTTCTGATTGGTCAAATATAAAAAAAATACAAATTCTTACCGTTTCATTACATCTGATCGGTTAATATTATAAACTAATGACTGAAACATGTACATACAAATATATACACTTATTGCTATATAGCATTAAACTAAAATATTATATACTTCTGATTGGTCAAATATAAAAAAAATACAAATTCTTACCGTTTCATTACATCTGATCGGTTAATATTATAAACTAATGACTGAAACATGTACATACAAATATATACACTTATTGCTATGTAGCATTAAACTAAAATATTAAATACTTCTGATTGGTCAAACATAAAAAAAATACAAATTCTTACCGTTTCATTACATCTGATCGGTTAATATTATAAACTAATGACTGAAACATGTACATACAAATATATACACTTATTGCTATATAGCATTAAACTAAAATATTATATACTTCTGATTGGTCAAATATAAAAAAAAATACAAATTCTTACCGTTTCATTACATCTGATCGGTTAATATTATAAACTAATGACTGAGACATGTACATACAAATATATACACTTATTGCTATATAGCATTAAACTAAAATATTATATACTTCTGATTGGTCAAATATAAAAAAAAATACAAATTCTTACCGTTTCATTACATCTGATCGGTTAATATTATAAACTAATGACTGAAACATGTACATACAAATATATACACTTATTGCTATGTAGCATTAAACTAAAATATTAAATACTTCTGATTGGTCAAACATAAAAAAAATACAAATTCTTACCGTTTCATTACATCTGATCGGTTAATATTATAAACTAATGACTGAAACATGTACATACAAATATATACACTTATTGCTATATAGCATTAAACTAAAATATTATATACTTCTGATTGGTCAAATTTAAAAAAAATAAAAAATTCTTACCGTTTCATTCCATCTGATCGGTTAATATTATAAACTAATGACTGAAACATGTACATACAAATATATACACTTATTGCTATTTAGCATTAAACTAAAATATTATATACTTCTGATTGGTCAAATATAAAAAAAAAAAATATTCTTACCGTTTCATTACATCTGATCGGTTAATATTATAAACTAATGACTGAAACATGTACATACAAATATATACACTTATTGCTATGTAGCATTAAACTAAAATATTAAATACTTCTGATTGGTCAAACATAAAAAAAATACAAATTCTTACCGTTTCATTACATCTGATCGGTTAATATTATAAACTAATGACTGAAACATGTACATACAAATATATACACTTATTGCTATATAGCATTAAACTAAAATATTATATACTTCTGATTGGTCAAATATAAAAAAAATACAAATTCTTACCGTTTCATTACATCTGATCGGTTAATATTATAAACTAATGACTGAAACATGTACATACAAATATATACACTTATTGCTATATAGCATTAAACTAAAATATTAAACACTTCTGATTGGTCAAATATAAAAAAAATACAAATTCTTACCGTTTCATTACATCTGATCGGTTAATATTATAAACTAATGACTGAAACATGTACATACAAATATATACACTTATTGCTATGTAGCATTAAACTAAAATATTAAATACTTCTGATTGGTCAAATATAAAAAAAATAAAAAATTCTTACCGTTTCATTACATCTGATCGGTTAATATTATAAACTAATGACTGAGACATGTACATACAAATATATACACTTATTGCTATATAGCATTAAACTAAAATATTATATACTTCTGATTGGTCAAATATAAAAAAAATAAAAAATTCTTACCGTTTCATTACATCTGATCGGTTAATATTATAAACTAATGACTGAGACATGTACATACAAATATATACACTTATTGCTATATAGCATTAAACTAAAATATTATATACTTCTGATTGGTCAAATATAAAAAAAATAAAAAATTCTTACCGTTTCATTACATCTGATCGGTTAATATTATAAACTAATGACTGAGACATGTACATACAAATATATACACTTATTGCTATATAGCATTAAACTAAAATATTATATACTTCTGATTGGTCAAATATAAAAAAAATAAAAAAATTCTTACAGTTTCATTACATCTGATCGGTTAATATTATAAACTAATGACTGAGACATGTACATACAAATATATACACTTATTGCTATATAGCATTAAACTAAAATATTATATACTTCTGATTGGTCAAATATAAAAAAAATAAAAAAATTCTTACCGTTTCATTACATCTGATCGGTTAATATTATAAACTAATGACTGAGACATGTACATACAAATATATACACTTATTGCTATATAGCATTAAACTAAAATATTATATACTTCTGATTGGTCAAATATAAAAAAAATAAAAAATTCTTACCGTTTCATTACATCTGATCGGTTAATATTATAAACTAATGACTGAGACATGTACATACAAATATATACACTTATTGCTATATAGCATTAAACTAAAATATTATATACTTCTGATTGGTCAAATATAAAAAAAAATACAAATTCTCACCGTTTCATTACATCTGATCGGTTAATATTATAAACTAATGACTGAGACATGTACATACAAATATATACACTTATTGCTATATAGCATTAAACTAAAATATTATATACTTCTGATTGGTCAAATATAAAAAAAAATAAAAAATTCTTACCGTTTCATTACATCTGATCGGTTAATATTATAAACTAATGACTGAGACATGTACATACAAATATATACACTTATTGCTATATAGCATTAAACTAAAATATTATATACTTCTGATTGGTCAAATATAAAAAAAATACAAATTCTTACCGTTTCATTACATCTGATCGGTTAATATTATAAAGTAAT